AGAGAGAGAGAGAGAGAGAGAGAGAGAGAGAGAGCGAGCCGTATACTTGGGAAACCATCAGCGATCTTTTAAGCAACTGCCATCCGCAGCATCAGTCGGCAGTGTGTCCAAGCAATCACAGCTTGCAAAGGTGGTCCTACGACTTGATTAAAGCCAGCTACTCTGTGACATTAAGTTGAAAAGGGGGGAAACGGATGATTAAGTAAGTACTGCTGCGGTATCACCTCCTATTAAGTAAGCCTACCATTGTGATGGAGACTCAGCTGACACATATTCATTAGGCCTAGATTCTGCTTTTCACTGCAGTTTGACAGAGCGGTGGTCATTATTTGCAATTCAATTTCTACCATTGATGAGACCTGCTCGTTCAATTAGCAGGATGATTGAAAATTCGACATTAAAGGTGAATAGACAGTTTGTCTGTTGTGCATGTTGATATCATTTATAGTAGAAGTACTCAAGACTTTATGGCAGGTGCTTTAATTAATTACCAAATGAAGCTTCAGCCATGTCAGTTCGTTATAATTATTTCGAAATTAAAACCGAACAATATACCGCTGGGTCTAGTTATTCGAACGACCGGTTGCTGCTTCATCTCTTGCTTTGCTCCAAACCAGCTATACACGGGTTTTAACACTTCAGGTTCGCGTGTAAATGCCTGCAGGATCATTGATGTCCAATGACAAGATCGGCAGCGCGGTCTTGCCTGGAGGCTGCTGTGGGTCATGTGGTGAGAGAAAATGCATTCAAAAATAATCACAGGATGCTATCATGCATACCCGGTTCCGACTGAAACGACCACCCCAACAGGACGTCAAATGACCGGCAGTTGAAATCGTTTCGAACGACTCTAGAATGCCTTCAAATCAGACAACGCTCTTTCCACGAGTTGAGCTCAATGCAAATAAATTTTAACATATGATAACTGGGGTATTCGACCTCATAAAATGAACCTCACAATACAATGGCAGCCTTGATGTTACTGATGACAAGGCAAATGTACGATGTTGGCCCTCTAAATTGTAATGTGGACGCGGTAATTTGTCACACCAGACGTTGCCCTTACACCAACGTATAAGTATTCACTCTGTCTTCTCAGTGAAGTCCGAGAGTTGCTTATTTATGCTCACTCGATCACCGAGTTTGCTAGTGTTGGAAGGCTGACTCCAATCCAATGCAGCAGCGGGTACTGCTAAATTAATATCAAAGGTTGATGCAATTATATGATTTCAATCCAAATCCTATGGGACAAGAACCTACCTGGTAGGCTTAATCACATTGGAATCACTTAAACGACTTTATGTTTATCCTTTTCCTTGACCCGTATGTGTTCCTTCTCACGTGCATTGTTTTGTAAGCAGGGGAATTGGTCTTGCTGGTTTTGAAGTTTATTCAATGTCCACGAAGCGGCACGGCGAGAGTTCTGTGCGTATTGTCTTTTCTTCTTCGGCTACTGCGCACGGCTTTAATGAAGTACACTTGCACCGTCTAAATCAATAGTCTGCTCAGGTCGCTTTTAAGTTTTTTCGATCTTATCTCAAGGTGCGTCAGTCTGCATCAAGTGTGACTTTAGGGAACGTGACACCTTTTATACGCACGCAACTCGATGCGTGATGCGCAAGGGCGAATCCGTGTGGGGGCCAGAGGGGGAGTCAAACGGGAGTCATGCCTCCAAGCATCCCCCGATATTTTTGGTTTGGAGATGGTGAGGGGAAGCTGAGTTTCTTTGTCTATTCCATTCGATTTCCGTCCAAAAAGCGTTTAAAATTCCTAAAATATAGCCCACGCCTCAAAAAGTATGCAGGCCCTATTAAAGTTGCATGAAAAATAATTGCAATTTTTGGCCCCTCAAAAAACACGTTTGGCCCCCGAAAATTAAGTCATCGATTCACCCTCAGTAGGGTAAGCGCTTCGGAGTACTTTCTTCCTCCAATACTCGGCTTCAGCTTCGTTTCTATCTCTAGCTTAACCTATTTTTTAAAACCCCTCGAGAGAGTTTGAAGTTGTTTGCTTGATGATAAGTCCAATGGAGCCACTTGGATATCGAAATAGATATATTAAAGCCAAATATCAAAATATTTATAGCAATTTAAATACGGTAGGCCTTTATTCGAGGATCGGTTGCAGAGACAAAGCCCTAGACGGAGATGAAACCGAGCATTGCCAGTGAAAACCCCACCAGTATCTGAACTGAACAGGTATATACACTGCCCTGGCCTCCAGCCTTTCCGTGTATTAAAAAAGGGTTCTGTACGAAATGATGATTTCTGGAAAAAGCATTTAAAGATTAGAATACAAGTGTTCTCTTTGTCATACCCTCAAATTGTGGGGGTTCGATTGCCAAGGGAAGGAATTTCGAGGTTCAAAATTTAACGGCAGTTGCAATCTGAGTCGATGTGTATCCTTCAAAATAATACATTGGCAAAAATCTCATGGCTTTGTTGAAGAAAATGGATTGGAAATCACACAGCATTACTCTATTTCATGGCTGCAGGTTTGTAATAAGCCTTCTATTGTGTTTGCAATGAGAACTGGCACACCGTGCGCAGCGGCTTACCCGACGGCTTAAGGAACGCGTGGGACATGCGTGTCCTCGGATTTCACTGGGAGTCTAGTGAATTACTGCCATTGATAATATGATGTTCATGTTATTTATTGCGTTGCAAACAATTAATGACAGCACATTACCTCATGCTCACTTTACATGTTGTTTAAGGATGTTTGCGCATACGAAAAAACATTGTTCTGCGCCTACGTCTACGCTACCGGACCTGCAGGATCTCTGTTGAACAATTATTTCTTTCGTTGAGTTTCAGTGTAGTGTTGTCAACTGTTGAAAACTACAAATAATGTTTTGCAGGACCAATCTCAAGAAAGCTTGGAAAAAGGAAGAGTAGAATATGAATTCATATCAATAGGGTTACAACTATGGGTCGCTCCTATCAGTGAAAAAGCTCGAATGTCACGTCTGGACATTTTATGGTATTGCTGGATACGTTTCAGTATAGTTATTATAATTATTTATTTGTCATCATAAAAACAAATGTACACAAATGGCAGGAACTGAAAACGAGAACGATAATCACTGTTGCCTGCAGGCATTCAGTCTCAAGACAAATCCAAATAGGCCTACAAGCAAGTAGACAAAAATATCACAAGGACACACATACAAAAGATACATAAAAAGACGTGAAAAGGTCAAAAATCAAAAACCATTAAAACAAGAATTAATTAAAAAATAAAATTGCACATTGAAAAGACTGTTTTTGCATCATTGTACATTAGCAATTCGAAGTAAAAATAGACCGATGATTGCTAAAAGACAATTATCATGTCGTGTGTACACTCCAATCAAACTTCGAACTTCCAATTGCAGTTTAGGAATACACCTGATTCTGTTAGATTGTTGACAAAATGTTTCAAGTGAACACACAAGCAAATCTGAACGCAAAATAACTGGCAGTTTTTCCCAGAGTTGGGGGAGGGCATGTATTGGGCTATGATGCAACCAATCAGTACGGGCAGTGACATGAACCAATTCAAATCATCAATATGCCTAGGGCAGACTGTAACATTACCGGTTACGACACCAGCTGCAACAACATAGAGATGTGAACACAAATGAAAGCAACAAATACCCTCTCAGAGGTTTCAGACGTTCGTTGTTTGTCATTTCCATTCGTCGCTGTACCAAGATGAAACGAAGGGCTCTTCTTTGAGTTTGGTTGACCTCAACAATAATAATGTTGCAACGTTTTTGGTTGAAAAGATGCCGCCCCGTAACTTGATCGTAATGTTTAGGCAAAAACACTATTGATTAACGTTCTTGCAACATCGTCTTAGTAAAGGCATTGACTTTCCCCAAATATTTAAGCTATTTTGTGTATAAATTTCGGCTTTAGATAACAGAACAGCGATTTCTTCTGCACTGCAGAAGACTAGAAAATGCAGAGTATAATTACGGCATCTGCAAGTTGGTTAAAATTCAGTGGTTAATGCTCATTTACATTTTCCGCTTTCCTCACACGCCATGTGATGTCACAGGGCGTGGGTTGACTTACAATAATACTATTTCAAAATATTACAGTGCATTTGAGTGTAAACAAAAACCGTGGCAAAAGAACTATCTGTCCAAGGCTTGAATGAGATTAATCTAGTTACAAGGTCACTGAAACTGGAACGCAATATCACCAGATTTCTGCAGTGTCTTGATTATGTTTTGTCGACATGCTGCAGGATTCCTGCACGTGTACCGTGAAGTCTTTAGTTATTACCGATTTCACTCCAAGATCATTTGATTTCCTTATTCTGTCTCTAATTTCTTCCATACTTACATTTCCACTTACCATTTTACAAAGTAAGTATGTATTGGAATATAAAAACGACCAGTAAAGTTTTATTTAAGGTGTAAATATACTTAATCATAATATATTAATGAGTGATAAGAATCCACTTATGCTATAATGCAAATCTTGGGATATTCGGGTACATTTACATGAAAATCTGCCTTGAGCAGAAACAACACTTTATCAGTTGAAAAGAGCCATGTGGAGCGGTAATGTTCATTTTGCTGGTAGCGACGCCACCCGTAACGCGGGCATTCCATAGTCGTTCGTGAACCAGCGAAATGCAGTTTGGACCAAAGGAGCCTCCGTTGGTAGGACATTCGCACCCTCTCTTGGTCCAGCTAAGGGTAAATAACCAAAGTCAGTATTATTTCTGGCTACCTGATCCAAACTACACAATCCTGAAAACTTAGATCTTCTTACTCAAAAAGAGTAATTCCAATATAACTAATGGGTCCCTACCCCTGTGCCCAGTTTGGGGTACGTCATATTGTCTTTTTTGAACAAACGAGCGTCTTGTTCGTGTCTGTGCGTGTTTTGCCCACAACCATCTGCTTTTGGGATTGAAATTCTCTGTGAAGCCTCAACCCCTAAATATATAATGCACAGAACTAAACTGTGGTATCAATATGTAAAGTATGAAATCTGGTAGTGTCGCCAAAGCTTCTCATCGCCTCAGCCTAATATCTTGGGCTTGAACATTCAGAGTTAAAAATTGATTGATTGATTTTATCGTACATGTGATGGGAAACACAAATATAGTTTTCTTGGACGACGTTTTCCAGACGGAGACATTAAGTCTCTTCATATCCATCAGGGAAAAGGTTCTGCATGACACTAGCCTTTCTGTTGATGACTTTAAATCTATTATAAGTGCCATGCATTACCTATAGGTACGGAGATCTTCAGGTCTCAGTTTTTCTGGATCATTCATTCATTGATGTATCTTTTCATATTCGGGGAGATCAAAAGTAAATGGGGAATCATGGAGATAGACAGATCCGTCTTCAGGGGATTGGTTTAGGTGTGTGGCGTGTAAGACGCCGAGGAGACATATCCTGCGGGGTGGGGTATCCAATGGCAAGTATTAGCGTCAGCGAAACTGGATTGAACGTGCCTGAGTAGCTTTCTCCATTGAAGGTAATATCGGGATAAATTTGGAACTTTACTGAGCACTAAATTCATAATTTTGCCTCTATATAAGCAGTCTTATCAGCTACGTGCTACACGGAGATTGTGTTAAAAATTGTTTCAACAGTTATCTGCTCTGCCTTCTTCTTGATGTTCTTCTTGATGTTACCCTGTCCATCTCACAGTTCCCTGCTGTGCAAACCATACGCTACGCAGAATATCAATGGTCAATACGAAATTCAAACAGTGCTTTGTGTTATCCTGAGCAGAGCTTTAGACAACAGCGATACATGTACACTGGCGAATTTAACGTGGTGCAGTTTCCGATGCATCGCAAACCTTTCTTCAATTTATTTGAGTACATGGACCATAACTGACATTTCGTGCCTTCTGTTGCTTTTGTAGAGCTGCCCTCGACACTTCAGTGGTACCTGCCGTGTCGTATTTCACGTTCTGAATTTCACGATTCGTCGCAGACTTTCCTTCAATTTAATGCTTGAGAACATGAACCATAAATGACACTTTGTGTCTTGTTTTGGTTTCATAGTGCCGTCCCGGGGAAGGGATGAAGGGGTTCGTGGATCTAATCAACGAGGAACCCACCAAGCTGATGCTCCTTGGAGCGAGCTGCTCCGTCGTCTCTCAGCCAGTAGCGGAAACAGCTCAACACTGGAACCTAGTACAGGTAAAGGGGAAGATGAGTTAAATGAAGGGACCTGAAATTTTGGTAATAATGACAAGCTATACCACTGTGCATATTCAAAATTCGTAACAATTTAAATGAACCATTGACCTTTTTTCATGAATGCTGGAACCAAAGCACGCGGTCCATGCCGTTTGTTAGAAACCTGTTATCAGTGAAATTACTCTGTTGAAAGAAACATTTACATGCCCTAGTGGCAAAATAATCGCAGTGCTTTGTTCGTGGTGTTCTTTTTGAGACTGTGGGGTTATTTCACCGTAGTCCACGAATCGACTTAGGACGGCAATCAATCAAGAAACTTGATCCGTGAAACGTCTACGGTTGATCGATGATGGAGTGCAAGGCACCCTGCCTGCTGAGTAAACACACAAATCTGTCTCCACGTTTACACGATGTATCATAAAATCTGAAATGGTTAAAAAGTGCGCTGCTCTTGACGAGCGGGAATTTTTTTTTATTTTGGAGAAGCCTTGCAGCGCTTTCCGAGGGAAACTACTCCTCGTTTGTTGTAGCGTTATTTCTGTAAAAGCGTCAGATTTGAGTAAGATTTTCACAGTCTCCCTGCAAATCCCCCAGGATTGCCGACTTAGAATTGGCGAATTCCTTTTTTCAGACGATTTTAATTAAAACATTCCCAACAGAGTAGGAACAGTCAGTTGTATTGGGGTGATGGCCGTAACACAAAAGCAAAAAATTGAAGTTCTTGATATGCCATAGTTTCTTAAAAATGATATGCTGTCATATCCCATTGGCCAAGAAATGATTATGAAAAGATAACTTGCTAAATTGCGAAATAGTCACAGCCTGTTGAAACTTGTACAGCAAAGGCTAGTGCATGGAACGCGCTCGACAGTTCATCCCGGATATTGGCTGAAATTGTTAATGCTGGATATTTCAAATTGACAAGGTGCACCACATGTTGAAAAACGTTTTATGTTATACGTGATAAAATTCAAGTATATCAAATTCAAGTATATCAAAAATTCAAGTTATCAAATGTCTGGGGTTTACCCCAGACATTTGATAACTTACATCCACTGCAGTACCTTGGAGATGTTTCTTTACATTATAAAGTCTAATGACATCTAAACAAGGTATCGGCTTTTAAGTTATCTCTGCCCTTGATGTGTTTAATGACAAGATCAAAATCTTGAAAAGTCAGGCTCCTCTCTGCCCTTGATATGTTCAATGACAAGATCGAACTCTTGAATAGTCAGGCTCCAACCTAGTTACCTTTGGTTTTTGTTCTTCATCTTTTGTACGTACGAACACCCACAAGTCGTGTTCGCTGCATGTACACTACATTGACTCTGCATAGATGCAGCATAGAGAATATACTCCAAAGTGTTGTACAGCGAGAATGACCGCCAGTGCTTCTTTCTTGATAGTTGAATAAATTCTTTGATGAGGTTTCAGCTTTTTCGAGAAATAACAAACAGGATGGCAAACTCAAGTTTCATATTCTTGCATGTAACAACACTAATCCAACTCCGGCATTACTGATATCTACTGCTAACATGAAGGCTTTAGTGAAGTAAGGGTCAGAAAAAAATAGATGCATTGACTAGCAGGGATTTAATCATCTGAAAAATTTGTGTGCATCTCTGTGTCTAGACAAACTTAGTGTTTTTACTAAACCAAGTCGGTCAGTGGTAAAACCACATCCAAAATATTGCGGCTAAATGTCCGTTAATAACTGGAAATAAGACTAGGAAGCGCATCACTTATTTAGTTCTAGGTAGGGACTTCGCCTTGTCCTATGACGTGACCAAGAAAGGTGATCTTACTTCACCAGTCGCGCTTTGAGATTTTAAATGCACTGTTAGTTTAGCTTCTGTCACTGGTATTTTCCGTATGTTCTTCCCATCTCATCATGCCAAAAGGGAGTATCTTATACCGATAAGATCCTTGTGGTATCACAAGGACAGATATTTTGCCCTAGGTTTGAGAGATATAGCAAGTGACCTGGAAGCAAATCATAGGTGCTGACAAATTTGGCTTTTCCAATTTGATTTGTATACAGCCATCGATTCTTGGCACTGGGCAAAAATCAGACTTTGAGATCGAATTTACTCTTCTAAAATCGTTAAAAAAACGCAAAGGTGAACGGGGCTTTGGAACTAAAATGCAAGGTGCACTCCATGAACTGCTGTACCTTTATTTCTTCACTAAACTGAACCTGTTTAAATGGGCCACACCCATAGAGATGTTGCTATATAGGTTTGGCATCTCCCATGTCTGCGTCACTGTGCGCTTCTTCAGTTCTTCCAGGTACATTGGGAAACAAGTGTCCATATTCCGCTGTTGTCAGTTATGTGACTTAACCTATCAGGAAGATTTTCAGTATATTCTGTGAATTACTTAGTCCAAGGTTACATTCTAGTCTGTAGGTACTTTCTTGTACACCTTCATTCGGCTTTTCATCTATTACAGATTCTGAAGCAACAAGTTTGGTTTTAATTTCTACCTCCACATTTCTTATATTATAAGGCTTAAACATGTTAATGTTAGAGTCGTTTAGCCTTACACCAAGGTGTGCAGACAACATAATCCAAGTCACTCAATTTTTGATCCATGATATAATGGTGCACCGTATCTTGCTTGGAGTGGCTGACCTACAACAAGTAACAAACAAGTAACAAAACAAGAACCTCTCTAGCTTTTTGTAAGTCTTCATGTCATCTTGAACACTTTTCAGCTTGGTCTGAGCAAACTCACAAGATGTTTTAAGACGCTCTTTCAAGCGCAAGACATAACTCAGGACACTGTCCTACGCTTGATCACCTGCCATGCATTATCTCTTAAATCGATGCTGAAGGTCCTCTGATACTGTGTCCAAACTCAAAATCGAAAGGACTGTAACCTAGAGATTCGTTCACTACACAAGCAGCGAGGAGTAACAATTTGAGTCCCTTCATTATTCCGGTCTTTCATACGCTCAAAGCAGTATGTCCTAAGCATTGATTTCAGGGTTTAATAAAACCGTTCAAGTGTTTGCGGTCTGTGGATAAGAGCTCGATGTGACAAGAGTAATGCCTAACGCACTAAGTTGTTCACGGAATAGTGCTTTAAGGTGACGTTTGTACCCTGATGGCGCTGGACAATTTTGGGTCAATACAGAAAGTGAAAAACTGAGTGAGAGCATCTGCTAAGGTTCGGCTCTTAATGGAAATGGCCTGATATTGGTTTGGCAATGGCCTTACACAATCAGTGATCACTTTGCTGAAAGGCTCATCAAAGGCAGGTATTGGTTTCAAAGGTGCATAAGGTGGATATTGGTTTGGCTTTCGAACCACATGACAAACATGGCAAGTTCCACTGTATACAGCAACGGACTGCCTAAGTAGGCGTGGATGCCTGGATCACCCCCCCCCCGCTGTGAGACTAAAAAAGAAGAAAAACTGGAGAAAATAATAAATAATATTAAAAAAAACTAAAGTAAGTGCACCCATACCATTCAAACAATATATGTCATTCATAATGTTTCATCATCGTTGTTCGCAGATATGAGACATTAAAAAGAATCTCCGGCCTGACCCCAACCGGGAAAAATTCCAGGATCCACCCTGCTAAGGTTTGACAAGTAAAAGTGCAGAAGTATACGGTCACAAATTTTACCTACACCTAGGTGAACTGCCAAAGTGTCCTGCGCTGCAACCAAAAGTACATTGCAAAGGAGCTTTGGTCTCAACAGACTGTTACATTCAATTCACGATACAGTCAGATTTACAGCAAAATTGTCAAGTTCAAAAATACACCCAAAACTTTCAAATTGAACCATCAATGCAAATTTACTAAATGACACTTAGGCACAACAAACCAATATACCACCAAGGCAAAATACGCCATTGAGGCTCTTGGTAATACGCCACAAAGGCAAATATACGCCACTGAGACAAAATGTGCCATTAAGGCAGAATACGTCACGACATAAGGCAATTTACATGCACAAGGTGACTGACTAGCCGGTAAGGCAGTCTACACAAAAACAATGTAACTATGAACTCATTAGAAAGTAATTTAATTATAGCAAGCCCTCCACCAAACTAAACTTCAATCCATCATTTTGCTAAAATCTTGCGTCAGCTCTTGCTTCGGCTAGATGCGCGCTGAAAACACCGTATCTGTTTTACACACACACGTTTTGCGCACTAATATAGAAAGCGTCCCCGTGCCATTCATGTACCATGCCGGGCTAGACATCGGTAGAAACCTCATGTGGTAATGAAATGCCTCTTATGTAGGGCCCTCTGAAAAAAATTAAGACCCAACTTCAAAAGTGGTTGCACATATATGCAAAATATACAGGATCAATTGTGCCAGAGGTATAAACATGATGCACGCACTGAGGAATACCAATAATTCAACCGTGGCAAATTCTTATTTAACCAATTTAAACGCAATTTACAAGAAAAGTGAATTCTTCTTATAGATATGTGGACTCCATCGTTGCCTGTAGTCGATCACCATATACTGCAGTCCGAAGTCATGAAGCTGCTTGGAAGTCTAAAATATTTCCCAAAGAAAACACTTGGCAGGCAAGCAAAAGGGGAAACCAAATTGTGCTAAGACCCAAAGAGCAAAGCTTTGGTAAAATAGAGAGCTTGCCGAAATAGAGCTGGACCACTGGCAACCAAGACAGCGAAAATGACTGACCTAGGGCACGGACGTGTGTAATAAAATCTGAACTTGCAATGCCCTTATTCAGCTCATAGAGATCATTGAATCCACTAGCGGCCATTTTATCGAGCCGAATACAAAAGCTTTCCTAGCAATGCCTGCCTTTGTTCTTCCTGACGTCAATACAAGCAAGCTAACCTACGCATTTGTATTTGGCGTTTAGTCTTTGGTTCAGGAGATGGGCAAAGTGTGCCCGCCAGCATTCAAGGATATCACCCTGTCCAGTCAGGAAGGTAGTGCCATTAATTGCAAGCAGAGGGCTGGACTGAGTTCCTCCATAGTCAGAAACAGTCCTCAGTGCT